ATCCTACTGCTGGCAGTTGTCTCAGTCTGAGTCTTTTGCTAGCAGTAGTCTGGCATCTGAGTCACCTTCTTGAGATGGTCTCAGCTATTCTTCTTCCATCACCTAGGTGGCCCTTCCTTCATCTTTCTTTAAGCACAGTTACATCTCTTGAGGAAGATGTAACAGTTGATCTGGAGTTGGCTTGTGCATTTGATTGAACTTTAAAACCTCAACACAAGGTGTGTATTGGTTTGTAAGTTCTTCATTTGATTGAATCTCCAACTCCTTTGATATCTTCTTCTCTTTTCCTCTTCTGCAAGTGTTTCTTTGGGTTCTTCCTTTGAACAGTTTGTCAGTGGCCTTCTGCTCCTTGTCATGTGCTTAGAGCAACTAGAATGTACGTACTATTCAGTTAGTTGCTCCAGCACCCTCCTGTATTTATCATTGTTGAGTGGTGGTAGCCCACATTGAAGTGGGCAACTTCCTTTGAACAGATTTGGGCATCCATTCCCATTTAGAACTATTTCCCCCTAAGCAGTGTGATCTACAGCCTTTTGAAGTGTTGCATTCAGATGGGGTGGCTGTGTATGTGTTTATCATCTCTCTCCTGTGTGTAGGATAAGAGTGATTTTTTCTAGGTTGATTTAGCTGCTTCTTAGGTGGGTAGTTGGTCTTATTGGTGTTTTGCCAACTGGTTCTTTGGTTTTCTTGTTTGAAAGGAAGTTTCTGTTTGTACAGGGATTTTGATTTTGGTTTGGGAGCAGACATGTTCCTTCTTGTGGGAACTATATGGATGTGGGAGTGTTGGTGGCTAAGAGACTTTGTGTCTTCTTTGAAAGTATGTTTTGTGGTAGAAGAGTATTTGGGAGAGTTTTTCAATGAGTGGGAACATGATGTGTATCCTGTGTCTTTTTCAGTGTGTTGAACTTCCTTAGTGAGTGGGGGAGTGAGGGAGCTTAGCTTTTCTTTCAAACTGATGTTTTCATATTCAAGAAAATCTATCTTTTTGATTGCTTCACCCAATTGTGCATGAGCTACTAAAAGATTTTCTTGAAGTCTGTAGTTTTCATTCATTAAGCTAAGATGCTCTTTTTGGAAGTTTTCAAATTGATGGAGCAATGTCTCCATATCAACACTGGATTAGTTGGAATAATATGAATTGCTCGAGGAACAGGATAATACCTCATCATGGTCACCTTCATAGGATCTGGCCATACCATAGTTGTGAGAGGAACTATTTTCTGGAATCATTCCAAAGAAGCTAGTAATAGCCTCCTCCTGCCTTTCTGATGAGCAGCTTTCTTCATTTGAGTTGCTTTGATCATCTTCTGATTGACTCTCCGTGAGTTCATCCCATACATCCTTTGTTTTCCAGTCATTGGATTTGTTACTGTTGATCAACAGATTCTTTGCTTGTTGTTCATCCATCATTTAGAAAGTTTTGGGATAAAAGTGGATTTGGATCTTTAGTTCAAAAATAGTCAGAAACTGACTCTAGGAACAACCCTCTCTGATACCACTTGATGGTCCCGGATAGAGGTAAAAGTCTAGAGGGGGGGAGGGGGGGTGAATAGACTTTTAAATCTTTTTCATCTTTATGAAGTTTTCCCTCTAGATGAGTTGATCTATAATCTTTTAGGAGATTAATAGATGCACAGCGGAAGTCTTTAACCTCTTTATACTTAGTGTGAGATAACTTTCTAGTTTAGATGATGTTTAGACTGGTTACAAGAGGAAGTAGGCTTGGCAGTAGACTGGTTAGCAGGTAACTGCTTAGTCTACTGCTGCACAGGCAGTTTGCTGACTGGCAGGCAACTGCTGAGTTGGCAGTCGGCTGGTGGGCAGGTTACTGCTGAGGCAACTGTTAAGAACAGGATGACTCTTGGATGGCTTTTTGTTCTGGCTTGTTATGGCGTTCGGAAAGACACATATGGATGGGCAGTGGGCTCAGCAGGAGGGTGAAGACCAGGGTACTGCTGAGGCACCTTCTGAGTGTAAGATAACTTCTAGTGGAAAACACTCTCAAGGAGAGTGAGTTATTAAGCAGTAGGCTAAGCAGTACAGTCGATGAAGACTACTGCTTAGGATGCTGCTGGCAAACTACAATCCTTTAGTGAGATGTGTTTGGTGTGTGCTCTGCATGTATGAAAGTAAATCAACACACGATATATCCTGGTTCAGAGGTGGTGTAATCCTCCTACATCCAGTCCCACCCTATTTCAGATGGATTTCCACTAAAGTATTCAGCCCAATACAATTAGTGCCAATCTAGCCTTGACAACTCTGGCCTAGATTGAAGGTTTTTCACGATGAGTATAACACCACTCAAAGTTACTCAGTCCTTAGACTTTTCTCAATTGATCCAGTGGGGATCAAAAGGTACTCTATCTATCTAACCACACTTTAGGATCCGAACAACTGTTCTCCTAAGTGTTTACAACAACATGAATTGATTCACGAAGTGTCTAACCGCCAACTAAAACCTAAGCTCTATAAATGTTACAATGAATGATCTAGTCTAAGAGCTTAGTGAAGCATGAGTCAAAGCAGAGTGTTCAAGCACTTTTTTCCTTTTGCTGGATATTCGTAGTGTAATGACTGAACCACTTGCTTTGAACTCAATGACTTGCTTTTGATCTCATGCTTCTGCCTATTTTTATAGGCATCTCCAGTAGATTAATCTCCTCCGTTGGTTAAGAGGATTTAATCCTAGACGTCCAAAGTATTGTACTTGCGTCTTCTTGTGTTGGAGCAGGATAAGAATTTGTCTTTTGAAGGCCACTTGCTTTGTACGAAGATAACACCCATACCTTAGGCCTTCTTATCGCTGCATGCCTATTCTGAAACTCTTTCTCTTTTCACCTATTCTGATGTCTTCTCTGCTCTTGCATTCTGCGTGTATTTGTCTTGCAACTATACTTGTGAAGCTGAGTGCGTGAACCTGCTTAAGTAGTGAAGTAGTAAAATGTGTGACTTAGAATATTTTGTATACAATAAATTTTGTACTGGTAGGATCTTTGAAATATCCTATTAAGGTAATAAGATTACCTTATTGCATTTTGTTCTTTCCAGTACAATTTATTTGGTACAAATTTCACAGTAAAATTTGTCACTTATTTTACTAATCACTTTCTTTCTTTGAGTGACATAATTAAACTTATGTACCAAATTAAAGCTATACTGGTTGGATCTAAATATCCATGTAAGGTAAATACTTTTCACCTTATTGCATTTTATCGTTCCAGTATGTTTAATCTGATACATAGTTTGTACATTGGAAGTCTTGTCACTTTTAAGTACTTGTGAAGTTTAGCAGGTATTGTGGACAACTTAACTGGTAGGATAACAAATCCTATTAAGGTAAAAGTTATTACCTTATTGCATTTTATGTTCCAGTTAGTTGTTCACTATTCTTGTTCACTTTGATTTATCTATATATCAAATAACACTTTACTGGTTGGATTTAAATATCCAATTTCAAGATAAAGACAACTTTACCTTATTTCATTTTGAATCCCAGTGTGTTCTTTTTGTTATATAGAATTTACATTGTTATTTGTTGTAGTGAACAGAATATCAAGAACTCTTCTTCTGAGTGTATGGTTTATCTAGTATTTCGAACATGATAAGCTAAATATTTAACTGGTAGGATATCAACTCCTATTAAGGTAAAATTACCTTATTGCATTTTGTTTTCCAGTTAAAATAAATAGTTTATTTGTACGAGATGTTATTGTGTGTAACAAATAAATTTAACTGGTTGGATTTATACGATATCTTTTTAAGGCAATACAATATTGCCTTATTGCATTTTATGGTTTTCCAGTCATATTTATTTGTTAACTATATAAAAGGAGCACGACACATCTAGATAATTTTCTTAGTACTCGACAACTGCAAGATGCTACAACAGAGGATAACAAAGACTCCTATAATAATACTACAATAGAGGGGGGATAACAAAAGCTTTTGGCATCATCAAAAACAGTTTATCAACCAATCAACTGGGGTCTAACAGAAAGCATTTGCTGACAGTGTAGCACATCTTTCGCCTTCTTATAGAGCAGGCGTGGCACCATGGGCCGGTTAGGATAATGTTGGCAGAAGCCCAACACTAGATACTTTAGACAAAGTGGCAACATTATCAAAAATGGATAAAAATGAGTGCAATATGTTTTTACCACAATGGAATTGCATAAATTAAATTTCTTAACCACCCCGCCTCTCCTGGCGGTAGTCAATACAACAAACTCGGATTCCATCGTTGAGCTTGTGATGCAAATTTGCTTCTTGGGTGCTCAAGAAATGGCACCCCTAAGAAAGAACACCCAACCATTTGTAGAAGAATGATCATCTACATTGGATATCTAACTTGCACCAGAATATCATTCTGAACACCGAAGGATATCTAAAGCAACACAAACGATAATCTAAGGCCCCTTTAAATTCCTGAATACTCTCTTCGTTGATTATCAATGTTGAGCGAACTACTAGTTTATTGGCTCAACCTACCCACGACATAAGCAATATCAGGCCGAGTGCTTTTCATGGTATACATCAAGTTATCAATAGCTTGAGGGTACTCTAGTTGTGATAATGTCTTTCCTTTATTAGGCATCAACTTCACACAGGTACCCACATGAGTACTAACCGATGAATAATCACTATAATTAAACCTTTTGATAATAATTTCAATATAGTAAGTTTGTGTTGAAGCAATTCCATAATTTGTTTACTCGTTTAATCCTTTTATTCCAAGGATTACATTCACACCCCCCATGTCATTCATGAACAACCTTGATGATAATTTTTTTTAGTTTTACCAATCTAATTATGGCCCATTTCAAAAATCAACATGTCATCAACATAGAGATATATAAACACCCGAACCTAAAACATCAAATTGGCTATAAACACATTTATCTGATTAGTTTAAGCCAAAACCATTAGACAAGATAACTTCATAATAAATTTGATGCCATAACTTTTGTGTTTCATAGAATATATGTGTTCTGTTGCAGATACTTGGGTGCCAATAAAGCAAGATTGGAAGTGATAGAGAGAGCTGGACATGCTGTTAACTTGGAATCTGCTTCATCTCTCAACTCTTTCATAAAGACTTTTCTTTTGCACAGTGATTCCCCTTGTCAGGAAGCTAACTACATCAACTTGGCTTAATTAAAGACACAATACATTAGTGAAAACGGGACATACAATTTTATTACATTAGTCCTTGCCATTCTTAATGTAATTCTTTGGATGATCATACCATAGATAATAGGTTTGGGAATAGTTGAAGTAATCAATTAATGGTGATAAATTATCTAAAAAGTAATGGTGATATACTGATATTTATCTCAAACACTACCCAAAGTTCTACTTGCAGCGGGGTGGTCGTTGAGCTTCATTCATCGCCGTTGTTGGTGGTCTCTTGGTTGCCGCTACTTGTGCTTTGTTGTACATCTGTCCCAGTGCAAAGCAATCTACTAAGGTGCATGACAAAATTATTACTATGAAACATAGAGTTGCTATTTCGTACCAATGCGTCGGACATTGTACTCTTTTATAAGAATAAATTTAGAGTCTTGTGACTCCAAATTCTCCACATAGAGACTTTTTTTTAATTAAAATGAATTTGGGGGAACTATTGGAGTCGCTTATCCAATTAATAGCAGTGCACGCGGAAAGTGTTTTTTTTTTAATTTACAGGCACTTTTTAACAAAAACAACTAAAAGAGCGTCTCTAGTTAAAAAAAATTTCACAAGTGTTGAGAGTGAATATGATGTATAAATCTCCCTAATCGTGCCTTGTATATGGACTATGGTTCTCCTTTTTACGATGAGTGACCAACTTAAGAGCCTAAGAATGCTTCTTCATGTTTTTGTTCTCTATGAACCCCCTTTCTAAATTTTCTATGTATGTGGCTTTTTAGAGAAAATCTCTCACGTGAAAAAGAGAGCCCATATAGATCACACTCCGTATATTTTAGAATTTGACCCGTCGAAGCTTGGATCAAATGATGCCATGCATAAATATGACTTGTTTTGAATTGAGTTTTTTCCTAAAATATTATTAATAAAAAACTTATAGATCGACAAAAAAGTGACTCTAAATTAATATGCTTAAGTTTTATAGTCACTATGATAATGTAACATTTGAATACAATTATAGTCACTTGAGTTACTAAAATTATATTTTTGTCCACTACTTATATTTTGGTTATATATTTGGAATTATTTCTTTTCAATATACCCTAAAAAGGCAAGATATGTAAAAAAAAAAAAATAGGAATTTTAAATTCTTAAAATTGGAGTAAAAATAATGTAGTTTACTTAAATAGAAGTAATGCATTTTCCCATTAAATATGAATGGTTAACGTCCTCCAAAACCACACCGCCATAATTTGACGATTGAAAGAACGACATAAGTATTACTCTCCAACTTTGGATGGACAAAAATATGACCATTTTAAAATTAGACAAAAAAGTGATTAAATTAAAAAGCTAAACCTAAAAACCCAAATTAGACAGATTTGGAAGACACGGTCGAGCTTCTCTCATCTGCGATCGGCCCCATAGCTAACACCTCTTCCTCACCTCCACTGGCCACTAGGACAACCGCCTCCGCTTCTCATCTCTACCGGTTGTCTTCACCTCACCTCCGTTGTTGCAATTCCGCCACCGCTGCCCTATTTGGGGCTAGGGAGGGCATTCTTCTTCCTTTTCTTCTTCCCCACGCACTACCTTCTTCTTTTTCTTCGATGTGAATCGTCATCATCGATCGCTAGTATCATAGATCTCATCTGCGATTTCAGATCTGGTAGTTTTTAGGCTTGTGGGGTTCAGGCGAGTCGCAGAGGGACTTGGGCAAGGTAGGGCAGTGGTTCTTGGGGTTTATGCGTGTCGAAGAGGGACTGGGGACCGGGCGAGCCAGGACGATGGTTGTTGGGACTGCTGCGAGTCGTAGAGTGGCTAGGACTAGTCGCAGAGGGATGGGTGGCACAAAGATCAGGTGGGGGGGGGGGGGGGGGGGCTGGGCTGGGGCTAGGCGGCGCTGGGGTCAGGTAGTGGGTTGGGTGAATTTCGCTCCTCTCTAGTAACTGGAATTGTCGAGTAGGAGAGAGACATAGATAGGTGGGGAAATGGTGGGGTAGAGTAAAGGAAAAGATTATTTTTAATTTTTTTTAAGGAGAAAGATAGAGTGAAAAAGAAATGAAGATCGTAAATGGAGAGAAGGAAATGGAGAGAATTATGACTCGACTGGGGTTGGGGCACTGGAGTGGGGGTGCTGGGATGCTGGGATAGGTAGGCTAGGGATGGGGCTGTGAAGCTGGGGAGCAAGGAAAGGAGATTAGGGTTGGGACAGGGGGCCTAGGCAGTCTCATGCATAACGGCGATGACCGCGGTGTCGGCGGGGTTGTGGTGATGGTTTCTGGGGCAAAAACTATGGAGGTTGTATAAAATTTTGACCGGGAGCAGTTGGCAGGAAATTTTCCGGCGACATAGTGACGCGTTTTTACGGCCACAGTGACATTCGAAAGTGATGAAATTGTAGTAACATTCAAAAGTGACATAAATCTAGTAATAAGACATGATAGTGACATAATTTTTTTGCAGTGACACAAAATTGGGCGGTGAAATGATTATTTTTCAAAGGTTGCCTGAATGTTATGTGCTTGTATGTATGTGTTGATTGATGTGTTATGTTTGCTAACCTATGCACCCTTTTTTTTTTACAGAAACTGATATGGATAAGATATCATTGTTGCTCAATTTCGCCAAGCGCTGGCAGTCGGAAGAAGGCGGTAGAGGAGGCCGCAAAGAAGGCGGCGAAAAGGTGCAGAAGAAAGCACTCGATGTTGAGAGGCAGTCAAATAGACTGTCCACTTAAAAGGACGAGGCTTCCAAGGCTGAAAAGCAGAAATGGTCCGAGGCCCAAAAAACTCTACAAGAGGCTGGCCTGGTATTTAAGAATGCCCCTGCATCCCGGAGCTCCAAGGTGCATGCTTCTGCCGATGTGATTGATGTGGAGCAGATGGCTCCGGTAGGAGTCCATGTCCAGGCGTCACCCCTCCAAATTATCGAACATGATGCCCACTGATAAGTTCGTATCACAACACGCATTTGATGCGTGTTGGGATCGGCTTTTGATGATTTTCCTAGCTTTAAGGTGTCACAAGTCTCAATTTGGCTCAAGTTATGTTTACCGGGCGTTGGTTCGAGTTTTGTGTTGTTTGGAGTCAAAATCAGGAAATTAGAGTCGGGAACTGGTGCTTGAGAAGCATTCGAGAGTGAATTGAGAGCTTTGGAGGTCACCGTGAGGTTCACGATGAAGATTTGAAGGCAAAAGAGCTCTAGGATTGGCTATGAGATCAAAAGAAGACGAATAGAGCTTGAAAACGGCGATCAGGATGACCTTCTGTCAATCGTTCAAGCATATCGTTTTTTAGAAACACCCAAAGGACACAATTCAAGTTCCATATGAAAGCTAACTTCAAAGGCTACAAATCATATGAAGACACCGTGACGAGAATCTTAGAGGAGAAAGGTGAAAACAGACGAGGAAGTCAGATGATTGCTGTTGCGATTTCAAAATGCGACCTTCCACCATTTTATTCATATCTATTGATTGGATGATTCAAATCCAGTTTTGCAAGTTGTGGTGGATAAAGAACTTCATTATCTACAACTAGAAAAGACCAGGCACGGTCGTGTCGGGAGATAGGCACGCCGTGCCTGAAGAAGAAGAAGCAGGTACCCAGCCACTGGAGGCCAGGCACGGTCGTGCCTGGACGTGACATGCGACATTGCTCCGCAGGCACGGAGGGAGGCACGGTCATGCCTGCCTTCGAAAATCCCAATTCAGCTCAAATTTCACCCGTTTTTTCTATTTAAACAGCCTGTAAACCCCCGCTTTCAAGACGGAGCTTAGAGAGAGTGCCTAGCACGAAATTTAGAGAGCTTTTCAGCCTTGTTCATCAATATTTTGGGATTCTTTGTAAGTTCCATCTTTTTAATTCTTTCTTTCCCAATTCCGTTGATTCTTCAATTATGAATTGTGAGTAGTTTTAATTAGGGATTTGAGATTGATGAAGGGGTTATTCATGATGTATGGCTAGATTCTTTATGGTTTAAATTGCATGAATCTTTATTTAATTTGTGTATGAATGATTTAATTGATATCCAAGCCTAGAACAGCTGCTAGGATTATAATTGCAACAACAACAACAACAACATCCAAGCCTTTGTCCCATGCAATATTGGGGTCGGCTAACATGAATCGATACATGATATCACCAAAAGGAAAAGAAAGAAAATAAAGATAAAAAAGATAAGCTATTATAAAAAAAGATAATATAAAAGAGATGAATATACATATAAAATATAAAATAAAAAGGATAAAGTAATATTTATATATAAGGATAAAAATATATAATAAAAAAAGAAAAAGAAAAGAGAAAAAAAAGAGGGGAAAAGATGATACAAGATCACTCCTCCACACGAATACCCGCCCTCCACTTTTCTCTCTCCAAAGCCATACCTTCATCCAATCCAAGAAGAAGCATATCACTTCTGACTCCCCTAACCCACGTCTGTTTGGACCTTGCTCTCCCTCTCTTCCCTGCCTCTTCTCCACACATCTCAACTCGTCTGACAGGTGCATCACTCGGTCTTCTATGCACACAACCAAACCACCGTAGGCGTGACTCCCACATCTTATCTTCAATAGGTGCTACTCCCACCCTTTGTCGGATTGTCTCATTCCTCACGCGGTTCTTTCTTGTATGCCCACACATCCAGCGCAGCATGCGCATCTCTGCCACACTCATTTTTTGAATGTGACATTGTTTCAATGCCCAACACTTTGTGCCATACAGTAATGCAGGCCTAATTGCCGTCCTATAAAATTTACCCTTCAGTCTAGTCGGCATACCTCGATCGCATAGAAATCCTGACGCACTCTTCCACTTCATCCACCCTGTTCTGATTCTATGGGATACGTCTCCATCTAACTCACCGTCGTTCTGAATTATGGAGCCCAAGTAACGGAACATATCGTTGACCGGTATCTCCTCACCATTAAAAGCAATTCCGCTATTACCACTACTTCTACCTCCACCAAACTTGCACTCTATGTACTCTGTCTTGCTCCCACTTAGTCTGAAACCCTTGTTCTCCGATGTTTGTCACCATACTTCCAACTTTGCTTTAACCCCTGATTGCGTCTCATCAATCAATACAATATCGTCGGCAAACATCATGAACCACGATATATCGTCTTGAATTGACTTTGTAAGTTCATCCATGACTATGACAA